GAGGACCCTTGTCCTTAGTTGGAAAGATGAGCATCAGATCAAGAGAAAGGTCTGAGGCAGAATCCAAGACCTGCCTGGAAATACACAACAAAACCTCAGCTCTCCTGGGTGGGAGGGAAACTTCATTTCACTGGAATGAGTTGGGAGAGAAGGGCCCTCAGCTTTTAGAGACACAAAAATCCATGAAGCCTCTTCCTTTCTGGGCTTTGTTAGCTAGTGCAGGGGATCAGAGGAGAGTGAAGCAGAAACCCTGTACACGGGCCCAGGATGTGGGTGATTTTGTGGTACCAGGGACTGTGTGATGGTAACCACCCCTGCAGATTCCATTACCTCAGCAGCTCCTGTCCCCCCACCACTGGCGGAGCATTCTGCAATGCCATAGCATTTTCTGGAGCTAAGATCTCTGGGTCGTATTTGCTGACAGCCTGCAAGCTTTCATGCTCTGACTTTTTTTAGTTTTTGTTTTTATTTTTTTGTAGAGATGTGGTCTCGCGGTGTTGCCCAGGCTGGTCTTGAAGTCCTGGGCCCAAGCAGTCCTCCCACCTCGGCCTCCCAAAGCGCTGGGATTACAGGTTGGAGCCACTGTACCTGTTCTGAAAGACTTTCAACTTGTGTCTCAGTGCAGTTCTTGACTCACCTCTCCAGGTCTCAAGTTCTACAAATGGCAGACACCTGGTGAAGCACTCTACAGGCTTTCCACTGCCTGTATTGGAAATCTTGCAACTCATTTATTTAGTCACTGCCTGGCACCTTTATCTTCCCATCCCACTAATATTAGTGTTTTTTTAATGGAGCTTTTATTTTGTTATTTTTTTTGAGACAGTCTCACTCTCTTGCCTAGGCTGGAGTGCAGTGGTGCGACTTCGGCTCACTGCAACTTCTGCCTCCTAGGTTCAAGCGATTCTCCTGCCTCAGCCTCCTGAGTAGCTGGGACTATAGATGCCCACCACCATGCCTGGCTAATTTTTATATTTTTAGTAGGGACGGGGTTTCACCATATTGGCCAGGCTGGTCTCAAACTCCTGACCTCGTGATCCACCCACCTCGGCCTCCCAAAGTGCTGGGATTACAGGCATGAGCCACCACACCCACCCAAGAATATGTGTTATTTATAACTGAATGAAGAATCAGGAGACTGCATTTCATGTCTGATTCTGCTGCTAATTAAGTCAGTCATTTAGTTTTTGGGACCTCAGTTTCTTTGTAAGTAAGATAACACCTGCTTGTTCTCCATCCCTGGGCTGTTGGGAGGAACAGAGGAGACAGTGGCTATAGAAGTGCTTGGAAAATGCACTTGTCCTGTTTTATAAAATAAAAAGGTATTAAATGTATATTTCTGCCATGTACCTAATGATTATTCAGTGTGTATATATCTGAAAAGTCATGTTGCATATCTTTTTGTAAAACAGATGCTATTTTAAATTCACTGGGAGAAATGTCCTATTTAAAATGATTCTATAGTGATATCTTTTTATACAATAAAAATATGTTTGTAAAGTCAACAGACAACCTGTAATTAGTTTTGTGTCTAGAAGAATTTGTTTAGAGAAGGCGCTCTGCATCCTTGAGACGGGGTAGCCGAGAGCTAGCTAGGATCCTGGCTCTCACTGTTGACTGTGAATAGCTACATGATCCTGAGCCCAGGCAGGGAGTTACTGTGAGGCTCTGCTTCCTCATCTGTACACTGCGAAGAAAAAGTACCCATCTCATAGGCTTGTTGTCAGGGGTAGGTCCTGCCTGTGGAAAGCATTTAGCAACTCCCCAGTAAGGACGGCTTTGGCTTGACATGTGATGTAGCTGAACTGGGTCCCAGCCAGGTGGACAATGATCTGTACAGACAGCACTGTCTTCAGCTCTGGTGTCTGTGAGGATTCAAGGTGAATGTGCATTTTGTGCCCTAAACAGGACATGACCTGTTGCAAACACCTTACAATTATAAGCAGGGTGTTTCCAAGGCTGTTTAAGCAATAGAGGGCTGACACTAATAGGTTCCTGGTTATCCAGACATACTTGCATTTCTAGACTAGGATTTCACCTATTTTTGGAGAAGTCAGTGAATCCCTTTGGGATTTGGATGAAAGCTATAGACTTCTGCTCAGCCAGGTATAAATATATACATGCACATTCTGAGTATATGAATTCCAGACAATCACGGGTACTGTGATGTCTTTTCATGAATCCCACACAGGGAAAGCCTGAATTTTTTTTTAGGTTAATAGAGGATTTAAAAATCCAAACAGTACAAAGGTTACATTGTGAGAAGGCAGGCTTTTTCTCATTGTGATCTTAGCCTCCAGTTTTTTCCTCCCAAAGGCAACCACTGTCACTAGGTTGGAGTATCCTTCCAAAGGCGATGCAAAACAGAGGTGATGCTCAACTTAATTAGTTACCAGGGAAACGCAAATCAAAACCTCTATGAGATGCCACTTCACATTCACTAGGATAGCTACAATCAAAGACAGAAAGAAGGGTTGGCCACAATGTGGAGAAGTTGGAGCCCGCACACACTGCTGGTGGGAATTGAAAATAGTGAGCACTTTGGAAAACAGTTTGGCACTTCCTAAAAAGGTAAAACAGTCTCCATATGACTTAGCAATTCTATGCCTAGGTGTCTACCCAAGACAAATGAAAACATATCCACACAAAAGCCTGCACACCAAGGTTTATAACAGCATGAATCATAATAGCCAAAAAATAGAAACAACCCAAATATCCATCAACTGATGAGTGGGTAAATGAAATGTGGTCTATTCATACAATGGAATATTACTCAGCCATAGAAAAGAATTAAGTATTGATACATGTTACAACATAGATGACCGTTGAGATGATGCTAAGCAAAAGCTTGTCACATATTATATGATTCCATGTTTAATTTTGTCAGAATAGGCAAACCTATCAAGACAGAAAATAGATTACAGTCTTGCTGGAATTACAGGAGTGAGTCACCAGGCCAGCTGGTCATACACTATTTTTTTTTTTTTTTTTTTTTTGAGACAGAGTCTCGCTCTGTTGTCCAGGCTGGAGTGCAATGGCATAATCTTGGCTCATTGCAACCTCCGCCTCCTGGGTTCAAGCGATTGATTCTTTTGCCTCAGCCTCCCAAGTAGCTGGGATTACAGGTGCCCACCACCATGCCAAACTAATTTTCGTATTTTTGAAAAATTAGAGATGGGGTTTCACCATGTTGGTGAGTTTGGTCTCGAACTCCTGATCCTGTGATCCACCTGCCTCCACCTCCCAAAGTGCTGGGATTACAGGCATGAGCCACTGCACCTGTCACTCATACACTTTAAATGAGTGAATTTTATGGTATGTAAATTATATCTCAAAGCTGTGAGAAACAAACACACAAAGTGGTTACCCTCAGGGATTTGAAAAAAGAAAGCGACATTTATCTTTGTGGGCCACTCCTCTCTATTTGGCCACACAAGTATTTCATTCATGCTTTTCTAGGTCCTTTGTTTTTTCACTTCTTTCTTGGCCATTGCTCCTCAACAGTGAGTTTAGATCACTTCATTCTTTTTGCCTTACATTCCATTGTATGGATATTCCTTAATGTATATAACCAGCTCCTACTGATGGAGATTGAGGTTTTGTTTTCATTCCAGCTACTATAGACAATGCTACCTTCCAAGGAGATTGTATCGATTAACACTACAACAAGGATGTATGGGAGTGCATTTCCCCACATCCTTGGCCACAAGGTATATTATCTTGTTTTTTGATTATTCCCAATTTAACGAGTGGAAAATTATAATTTTATACGTACTTTTTAAATGGCTGAGGTGGAGTCATCTTTCTTATGTTTAAGAGCCTTTCATAATTTTTGTTCATTGCTTCCTCTGCTTTTTTTTTTTTTCCTGAGACAGGGTCTCACTTTAACTCTCTGGCTGGAGTGCAGTGGCGTAATCTTGGCTCACTGCACCCTGGACTTCCCAGGCTCAAGGGATCCTCCCACTTCAGCCTACTGAGTAGCTGGGACTACAGGCACCCACCACCACACCCGGCTGATTTTTGTGTTTCAGTAGAGACGGGGTTCGACATGTTGCCCAGGCTGGTTTTGAACCCTCGGCCTCTCAAAGTGATGGGATTACAGACGTGTGCCACTGGACCCGGCCCCCTTCGCCAGTTTTAATACTATGTTATCTTATATTTTGGGAGAGTTGCTACATCGAATATCGGCCCTTTGTCATGTGTTGTAAGGATTTTTCTATATTTGTACCTTGTCTTTGATTTTTTTTTTTTTTTTTTTTGAGACAGGGTCTTGCTTTGTCTTACAGGCTGGAGTGCAGTGGCGCGATCACAGCTCACTGCAGTCTGGACCTCTGGGGCTCAAGTGATCCTCCCACCTCAGTCTCTGAGTAGCTGGGACCACGCCCAGCTAATTTTATTTTTTGTAGAGATAGCACCATGTTGGCCAGGCTGGTCTCGAACTCCTGAGCTCAAGCCATCCTCCCGCCTCGGCCTCCCAAGATGCTGGGATTGCAGGCGTGAGCCACCGCGCCCAGCCGTCTTTAATATTTTTCACCAGGTGGGTATTCCACATTTTTGTGTAGTCTTTTTTTTTTTCTTTGGTGGCTTCTAATTCTTCCCCTTTCTGGGTGTCTCACTTGGTCTCTCTGAGCTACAGGTTTCCGCTCTATAATGTCGGGTCATAAGGCTCAGCACACACGGTTTAGCGTGGGTTCGATGAGCGAATCCAGGTCTGAAAGCGTCCGGCACAGGTGCGGACGCTGAGGCGAACGGCGTTAGGTGAGTCGAGTCCGCGGACGCCACCTGCCAGCACCTCCGGCTGGCCTCAGCTTCCCGCTGTTCTAGCCCACGTGAACGGCTCCGCCCTATCTGGCTTCTGACCAATGGACGAGTTTCCTAAGGCTACCGTCCCGCCTCCAAGCCTCTTGGCCAAAAGGCGGGCTCCATCTCTCTCGGAGTCCCGCCCCTTGGCGGATAGAGCAATGGGCGCCTTCCGTTCGGCACAGGTCCCGCCCCCACCGCTCTCCGGCCTGCGGGCCGCAGGGCTAGTTCCGGAGGGCGGACGCTGAGGAGGCCGTAGTGGTCGCAGCTCAGGCGCAGGCCAGGCGGGCAGGGTTGTAGGGCTGGGGTCGGCGGCGAGTTGCCCGGCGGTACAGCGGCAGCAGCCCGGCAGGCCGTCCAGAGTCGGCAGACCGGGCCGCTGCCAGCTCCCGTGGGGCAGCTCGGGCCCCTTCCGGCCCGGGGCTGGTCTGGCCGCAGGAGCTGGGCGGGCTGCGGCGCCGGGTCTGGCCCTGGCCTCCCGGCTAAGCGCCGGGCCCCTGGGCTGCGGGTACGGCAGCCATGTGTGGACCTTGAAGCGCCGTGTCGTCCTCTGAAGCGCTTTGACAGTTCTGAAGGGCTTTATATTGCAAATTGATCAAAGCGCTTTGTAGCCCCGGAAGCGGTTAGGCATCTCCGAAGTAGCGCTGTACAAAGTGAAGCGGTGGGTGATCTCAGAAGCACGTTGTGGGTTTGGGAACCAACGGAAGCCTTTAGAAAATTTTGAATCGTTTTGACTTCTCCAGCACGGTTTGGCATCTCTGAAACCTTGAGAACTGTGATGGGCAGTGGAAAGAAGAGGGAAAGGTCAGTGAAGCCAGCCCCTGGCTCTGCATTTGTGGCTTGCACTCCCCGGGGCCCGGGGTGGCGGGAATCCGAGGTGGGGCGGCCAGGAAGGGTGATGTTGGAATCCAGGCTCCCTGTACCTTGCAGGTGCCCATGGCGTCCGAGGGGCGCAAGGTCAAGTACAACTGGAGCAGCACGTCGGAAGGGTGTCCCAGCAAGCGCAGCTGCCTCCGGGAGCCCGGTGATGTGGCCCCCTCCAGCCGGCCAGCTCAGAGCTCTGCGTGGCGTTCGGGAGGGCCCGGCAGCCCCAAGTGCCTGAAAGCCCAGAAGGAGGACGATGTGGCTTGCTCGCGGAGGTTATCCTGGGGCTCATCCCGCCGCAGAAATAACTCCTCTTCCCCCCGTTTCTTGGGCCCAGGTGTGGGCGGGGCCGCCTCCAAAGGCTGCCTGATTCGTAGCACTCGGGGTTTCCTGTCGTCGTCAGGGGGATCCCCTCCGCGTCCTGCCAACGCCTTTCTAGAAGAAATGGCTTCTCTAGAGGAGGAAGCCTGCAGCCTTAAGGTAGGTGGCTGCCACTCTTTGCAATCGGTGAAGCCCCTTCCACGTGGCTTGCGAGGTTGGGGATGGGAATTTTGGCGGGGGGAGACTATAATAAAATATCACATCCTGGAAGGTCTGGAGGATCTTCTTAGAAGTCCACTCCACCCAAACTTGAAGACCAAGCAGTCTTCAGGGCGTGGCCTGAAGTTTTAAGTACAGAGGTAGTTTTCAAACTCGGCAGCACTTTGGAACTACTTGGAAAGCTTTAAAATACTTGGCCTGCCTTTTACCGCGGAGAAACTGATTTATTGGGCTGAGGTGTGCTAGGCTTCCAGATTTTTCAGTGCTCCCCAGGTTACTGTAAACGTGCAGCCCCGTTGGAGAATCACTGCAGTAGAAGGTGGATTGTGTGCTCAAGAGAAGGATGTATTTATTTTAGTTGTTAGTTTAAGAAATTGTGTGCCCTTGTTCTTTGAACCACTCTGAATCACAGAACCAAGAAATGTGGTTCTTGGTGTGGCTTTTCTCCAAAGTCATGGTTTCCAGCCTGATGGGGTTTTGCTTGGTGGTGCTAGTTTTTTTTTTTTTTTTTTTTTGGGGTGTTTTCTTTTTTTTTTATATTGTTAGTTCCCTAATGGAAACACACAAGAGTTTCATAAGTACTTGGAGCAGACCAAGGAGTGCTTAACAGAGAAGACATATTTCACTCATCAACTCAAGGCTTTGAACGAATATTTGTTGAGGGTTTAGTTTGTGTTCCAGGTGTTTGGGATTGTCTAGTAACAAAACAGAGATCACTTTCCCCTTAGAGTTTGCATTCTATGTTTTGCAGCTTTGGGTCTTAAGAATTGAGAAGTTCGGCCTGTGGAGGAGTGGAAAAGCAGTCTTATTTGGGATGAGATGGGCTGCCTCCAGAGAAAATTATTTTTACAAAAGCAGTTAAAACAGGCCCTAAGGAATATGGGTTTGTTTTTAAGCCTAGTCTTGGTGGTTTCTTTTGAGTAGCTGAGAAAGGAGGCTGTATTTGACTGTTTATCTTGGGGAACTTCTAGGCTAAGTGCCCCTGGTTTTTTCAGTGTGGATCTCACTGAACTCTTGTGTGGGTGAGCACGTGGATTTTTTTTCTTTTTTAAATTCAAAAATAATGGTGCGTTGAAAAGCCCTGTCTTTAGCCTAAGAATGCTGAATGTGTCTCAAATCAGGTAAGTGTGGGACTTTGCTCACACAAGTTAATCTTGCCATTAATCCTTGATACAATTTCAGTAGACTTGGGTACAGCATAAAATAATACCAATTGATTAAATTTAGCTTCACTGACAATTACAGATAGAGTGAAACCTGGTACCAGGAGAGGCAGGAAATTTATTTTACTTAGTCTTTCAGGTGTGCCGAATCCCTGGCTGTCCTAAAGACCTGGAACTCAGGTTGAGGGTGTGGTTTTTAATCTGGGTGGGTCCATCTTTCTCTCATTAAGGCTAAAGAGGCCTTGTTTTGCAAGAACCCCATTTAATGGTTTCAGTAAGCACTTGAGGGTTATTGCGTGCTAAGCACCCTTGGGTCTGGGAGTGATGAGCTTCTAGGGAGCAGTCTGGTGGGAGGGCTAGAGGGGTGGTCAAATGACTGCCCACCAGGTAGTATCATGGAGCAGTGAGCCCAGAATGGAGGCTGGAGAGCGAGGTAGGGGGCAGATGGCATCGAGGTTTTAGTCATCAAGGGAATTTGGACTTTATCTTAAGGACAATGAATTTTATTATAAGGGACAATTACCTATTTTTTTTTTTCTTTTTTTGAGACATTCTTACTATGTCACCCAAGGTAGAGTGAGTGGAGTGGTGTGATCTCGGCTCACTGCAACCTCCGCCTCCCAGGTTCAAACAACTCTCCTGCCTCAGCTTCCCAGGTAGCTGGGACTACAGGTGTGCGCCACCATGCCCAGCTAATCTTTGCATTTTTAGTGGAGACCAGGTTTTGCCTTGTTGGCCAGGCTGGTCTCAAACTTCTCACCTCAAGTGATCCACCCACCTCAGCCTCTGCATCCTCCTCCTCCCAGGTTCAAACAATTCTCCTGCCTCAGCCTCCCAAGTAGCTGGGACTACAGGTGTGCGCCACCATGCCCAGCTAATCTTTGCATTTTTAGTGGAGACCAGGTTTCGCCTTGTTGGCCAGGCTGGTCTCAAACTCCTCACCTCAAGTGATCTGCCCATCTCAGCCTCCAAAAGTGCTGGGATTACAGGTGTGAGCCACTATGCCCAGTCAATTGTATTCTTCTTTTTAAAAAAAATTATTTTTTGAAACTATTTCCCAGGCTGGAGTGTAGTGGCACAATCATGGCTCACTGCAACCTCGAACTCCTGGGGTCAAGCAGTCCTCTTAAATAGGTGAGAATATGGGCATGTGCTATCACACCCTGCAGATTAAAACTTTTTTTTTTTTTTTGGTAGATATGAAGGTCTCAATATGTTGCCCAGGCTGGTCTCGAACTCTTGGGCTCAAGCTATCCTTTCTCCTTGTCCTCCCAAATCGCTGAGATTACAGGCATGAGCCATTGCGCCAGCTGGATTGTCTTCTAAGCAATTAGAGAATTTATACAGGGCTCTTTACAGAGGAAAGTCAAATTGCATTGTAGAAAGATCACTCTTGTCAAGTGAGGATTTTATATTATCCTGATGGTCCATCTCTAGCACTGCTGAGGTCTCTCCCTAGAGCAGGTGTTTGTCAGTTTGAAAACCAAGTGTACACTACTTGACTCATCCCAATGAATTAGAAGACACCTCATACCTTCCCTGTTCATCTGTACCGGCTCCTCCCTTTCTCTGCAGTCATCTGTGAACTTGCTCGTCCTGGTCCTAAGTCTTTCAGCAAGCACAGCTGAGGGGTACTCACAAAAATGGCATGCTCATCCCCAGGTTCTTCTAGAGTCCTCTCACTACTCTCCTGTGTCTGTTCTGTAAACTTTTTTTTTCTTTGAGACAGGTGCTTGCTCTGTTACCCAGACTGGAGTGCAGTGGCATGATCATAGCTCACTGCAGCTCAGCCTCCTGGGCTCAAGCAGTCCTCCTGCCTCAGCCTCCCAAGTAGCTAGAACTACAGGCGTGTGCCACCATGCCTGGCTAATTTTTTATGTTTTGTAAAGACACGATTCTCCTTGTCCAGGCTGGTCTCAATCTCCTGGGATCAGGCAGTCCTCCCACCTTGGCCTCCCAAAGTGCTGGGATTACAGGTGTGAGCTGCTGAGCCTGGCGTTGCTCTGTAAACTTTGAGGGTTACATAGTTGACTTTTGTTCCCTCCTACCAGCAGCCTTTAACATAGCTCTCTCTGTGCCAGGTCACAGAATATTCCGAGGGGAGGATATTAGACTGGTCATTTTAGAATCGGTAGAGATCCCTGCTATCTGACCTCATATTGTTCCCTTCTTACATCCAGGACAGTTGGAGAGTTTTTCTTACATTCTGATGTTAGCTGATGATCTTCGTTTACTCTTCATAGAGAAGGTTAACTGTGTGACGAGCACCTTCATGTACTCCAGATTATCTTTACTATGACATCTAAATGTCTACATTCAACTTAGAGTAGGAAGAATGGAAGGGAAAATTTGAGCATGTATGATAGGGCTTGATCAACTATGATTTTTAACGTTTGACCTATAGACTGTCACATAATCCCAACAGTGTTGTGAAGTAGGTGGTATTATCTCTACATATCTGTTAGTAAATAACTTCATATCAATTAACAAATATTTAAGCACTTACTCTGTGTAGGCACTGGGAAAATGAGATTCAGAAAGGTTACATAAGCTGACTAAGGCCATGCACCTGGTAAGTGGCCAAGCTATGGGGTTGTACCAGATCAGCCTAACTTCAAAGCCAGTGTTCTTTGCACTGCTGCCTCTGGGAGCACCTACTCTGCCCTAGCCTGGCATCAGATGTAGGGGTGGCAAGATGAAGATGCCACAGTCTCTCCCTTGAGGAGCTTTCTGCAGGGTAAGTCAGTGCAGGCACTGTAAAGCACTGGCTCTCGAGTGATAGAGCTTTTGCACATCCCCTTTCCTGCATCTTCACTTGGCACATGTCCAGTGCTCACGTGGAACACCAGGCTAGGGGCTGTAGGTGCCAAGGACAATCAGGCCGTGCTTCACAGACTGAAAAGTCACTACAGGGCAGTGAGCAGAGTGCTGTAACAGGGATGTTTGAAGTGCCCAAGGGTCAGGGGAATGAGTGACTGACCATCAGGAAGGTCCTCCCAGAAGGGGTGAACCTGTCTTCCTGATGGACAAAGGAGAACAGAACAGAACATTTCAGGCAGAGGGAACAACATGTGCCCCAAACATCAGGAAATGCTACTTGTCTATAGCGCTTGGGGCACTGCTGGCCCTCCCTTCCCTCATCCGTGCCCTTTTGCATTTCCTGGACACTTGGGTGTTCGGAGGAATGCTGGAGATGAGGCTGGACAGGAAGGCTGGGACCAGCCTGCAAAGGGTTCCTGATGAACACAGGGGTGGGGATTATTCTTTAGGCAAATGCAGAACCCTGGAAGGGGCTTGCATTTTAGAGCTCCTTCTGGCACGTTGGAGAGAAAGGGTAGGAGGAAAAGACAGGGAGCTGGCCAGGAGCTGTTGAAATCCTTCAGGCTACTGGTGATAGGGCTGGAGCAACATTTCCACTTATCCCTCTTGCCTTTGGAGATGCACAGTTAACTAAGCAGTGCTGCCAGGAAGAACAAAATCTCTCCTATTTGAAGCCAGGTGGTTTGTCTCTTACCTTCTGCCCTTGGTCTACCTACTTCTTACCTTTAGAGCCAACTATCACCTGCTGAAACAGCCTCAGTGACCTTGATCCATCTTAGGTCCTCACTGCAGCCTTTGAGACTGTTTCTTACTCTTTTTTTTTTTT